TTTTATTATTTGGCAAGTTTTTGTAAATTTTAATTTATTTTTAGAAGTTGTAACTAAAAGGTTTAGAAAAGTTTCAAATTCTGATATAAGACAGCAAATCGGAAGATATTGTAAAAATGCTCCATCGCTTAAAAATAGAAACTAAAATTTATTTTTTATTGTATATATTATATGTTATATACATTGTTATATAAAAAGATACTTTATTAAAATCCATCTAATTGTATTTTATGTCCCTTTTAACTTATTTTTTTTTAATTTTATTAATTAATTTATTTTTTTTTAATTTATTTTTCCTTTATATTTATGTTTCTAATAAATGCAGGATTAATTTTTTCTAAATTAAACACCTAAAAGTTTTCTAAAATAAGACTTCTTGAGTAAAACGTATTTAAAGCGCTTGGTAAGACGTTTTTAATCTGTCTAGAGTAAGATAGATTAACCTATCTTGAGTAAGATATCTTTTCGATGGACAACCTAGACCTTTTTAAGACATCTTTAAGACGTCTTGAATAAAACGTCTTTAGACCGTTAAATTAAGACGTTTTAAATCGGTCTTTAGTAAGACTTTTTTAAGCAATCTTGAGTAAGACGTCTTTTCGACGGACAACGTAGACCTTTTTAAGATATCTTTAAGACAACTTGTTTAATCTTAAAAAGACGTTTTTAGAACAGCTAAAAGATGTCTTTTTGTTTGCTGGGTAGCCGCTAATTACTGTATGTAAACTTACGCTAATTGTACTGATATCTGTTATCGCCATATAAAGACGATTCAAAAAATACAAAGCAACTTTAACTTCACTGCTTACATCTTAGAAATCTTTAAGTATGCTCATATTACCGAGGTTCTCATATTACTCTTATTTACACTACAGGGGAGTAAAGATAGTAGTAATTTTTTTTTTTTTACAATGGTGATACAAATAAGTTATTTAGTTTTTTATTTAAATAGTTATTAATTTTAATTTCTATTATTAGCTAATAAATAAATAATTTAATGAAATAAAGTTAGACGTATTTAAAAGTAATGTTGAAACTTTAAAAAGATCTTTTATACACCCTTTATTTTTCAACTGACTTGCAAATCTTAACAGAAAACAAATTATCTGAGAGATTAAAAAATATATGAAGGGTTCATATTCTTTTTTATCAATGATTTGTCTATGCAGTGTCACAAATTGTAATATTATGCCTTACCCCCAGAAAAAAGTAAAATTATTTTGACTCCCAAAATGTATTAATAATTGAAAACGTTGGATTAGTAGAATAGCAAGAGTTAATATTTCTGATATTAAAAACACCGTATTTTATAAAACGTTTTGTTGTTAACTTTGATTCCGTAATGATTGCTTATAGCCAAATTTAATTCCCACTGTACCCTTGCCAATAAAAAACCCATCAAAAGGTTTTGCTGCCAATTGCAAGAGAGAATAAATTAAAAAATTAAAATTCTGAAGACAAAATAGGAAACATGCCAGGCTCATAACTTAGGGGGTGATTAGGGTGGCTGTCACCCTCCTTTTGAAAAACTGGTCCAGTTTTAAAACTTTACTAAATATATGGTTTTGCTTTTTTTTTTTCATTAAAAGTTGCGAATCCTCAGGGTTTTTTTCTAACGTTAACTAAGAGAACTGTTTTTAAAAAAAGAATATTACGCAATTATAAAAATAAAACATTGCAGTACACAAGGTTTTACTTTAGTCTTAAGGCATAAAAGTTAAATATTATTTCAAGCGCTTACCCAGCAAACAAAAAGACATCTTTTAGCTGTCTTAAAAACGTCTTTTTAAGATTAAACAAGATGTCTTAAAGATATCTTAAAAAGGTCTACGATGTCCGTCGAAAAGACGTCTTACTCAAGATTGCTTAAAAACGTCTTACTAAAGACCGATTTAAAACGTCTTAATTTAACGGTCTAAAGGCGTTTTATTCAAGACGTCTTAAAGATGTCTTAAAAAGGTCTAGGTTGTCCATCGAAAAGATATCTTACTCAAGATAGCTTAAAGTCATCTTACTCTAGACAGATTAAAAACGTCTTACCAAGCGCTTTAAATACGTTTTACTCAAGAAGTCTTATTTTAGAAGACTTTAAGGTGTTTAATTTAGAAAAAATTAATCCCGCATTTATTAATAAATGCGGGATTAATTTTTCCTTTATATTTATGTTTCTAATTAGAAACATAAATATAAAGGAAAAATAAATTAAAAAAAAAATAAATTAATTAATAAAATTAAAAAAAAATAAGTTAAAAGGGACATATAATACAATTAGATGGATTTTAATAAAGTATCTTTTTATATAACAATGTATATAACATATAATATATACAATAAAAAATAAATTTTAGTTTCTATTTTTAAGCGATGGAGCATTTTTACAATATCTTCCGATTTGCTGTCTTATATCAGAATTTGAAACTTTTCTAAACCTTTTAGTTACAACTTCTAAAAATAAATTAAAATTTACAAAAACTTGCTAAATAATAAAATGTAAACTTGC